TCTATTAATTTGGCAATTTGTAGCAAATTATCTTTAATTTACAGTTTAATTTCTCACTTAAAAAAATCACATACAACTCTGCTGCTAAAGTAATGAAGGTGGTTTTCATGAACTGTTACTATTCTGAGAAGTATCTGTGGTCTCTGCAGCCTCTTTCCTTTCATGCAGGTTGCAGTGCCAGGTGGTTCAGTACATGATTTGCTTCTTTCTGTGACCTTTTTATTGTCCTTATATCTTTCCTCTCTTGAGGAACCTGGGGGAAATATTACATGATCCTTCTAAAGTCCGGACACCAGAAATTGCTGCAGGGAGCATTGAAACAGTCTGAAAGTTTCATATCAAGATACAACACAATAATAAATATGAGGAGAAAAATGGGCATGACTTTAGTCTTCATAAAATCTTATCATATTGCAGAAAGCTTGGCTGGGAAGTAAATCAGATTATATCTTTATTCTGCTCGGTGCTATCCACTCTTTTCATATTTCTTTTTCATTGCATTTAGACCTATTTTTCAAGCTTAGGTAACTGGGAGATTTTCAGAAATGAACCTGTGCAATGTGTTCTTGATTTAGATCTTGGTTTTGGCAAAGGGTTTAATTTTTGTTAGTGCTGAAACTATTACTGTGATCCCAAAAAGCCCAATTTGGTATGCTTTTGTGTTACCAAGAGCATTTGCATTGGCCAGTCCCTTTTTCATTTGGTACATGTCCTTGGAGCATGTAGGAGGGCAGTTTTAAGATCGTATTCCTGAATAGTTATGGTGAGGGTAATTTTAAATTTCATCTCAAGACAGGTAGAGTCTAATATGGAAAGGAATGGTGCCAAAATACTTGTCAAGGCTGAAGCCAGTTTTGGTTTTGATGTGAAGGAGAAAGACTGTGTGGCTTTGTGTTCACAGAATCATTAAGATTGGAAAAGACTTGCAAGACCATTGAGTCCAACCTGTGACCAATCACCACCTTGTCAACTAGATCAGAGCACCAAGTGCCACATCCAGACATTTCTCGAACACCTCCAGTGATGGTGACTCCACTACCTCCCTGGACAGCCTGTTCCAATGCTCAACAACTCTTTCTATGGAAAAATTCTTCTTGATGTCCAGCCTGAACCTCCCCTTATGCAGTTTGAGTCTATGACCTCTCATCCTGTCACTTGTTGCCTGGGAAAAAGTCCAACCCCCACCTGGCTACAGCTTCCTGTCACATAGTTGTAGAGAGTGATAAGGTCTCCCCTGAGCCTCTTTTCTCCAGCCTAAACACCCCCAGCTCCCTCAGCTGCTCCTCATATTACTCTGTAGACTCTTCCCCAGCTCCGTTCCCTTCTCTGGACTCTCTCCAACACCTCAATGTCTTTCCTGCATTGAGATCCCCAGAACTGAACACAGTACTCAAGGTGCCTCACCAGTGTCGTGTGACTTGAACTTCTTTCCGTGTGTCCCTTAGCATCTGGTGGCAGCCTCTTCCCTGCATCTCCCTAGTGAATTCATAGCAGTTACTTGTGTTCTACCCACAGCTTTGGTACAGGGGCAGTTAGGTATTTGGGGCAAGAATTTAATGTGTGATATCAACAAAGACAAGCTTTCATTTAAGCAATGCTTTTGGTTTCTCCCCTGCCACCAAAACTTTTTGCAAAAACCTGTGGATGTCTTATTCTTATGGAAACATTACACTGAAGACCTAATTAGGAGAATTTCAGGATTAGGTTTTGAGACTCAGTGTTGGAGGTGTTCAGACCAGTTGCATTTCGGAGCCACTATTGATATTAATCCGTAAAGTAGTTAGGACAGGGACATTAGACCAGAGTCTCTTAAGCATGCAGATGATGGGAAATAGGTGATGATTTAGTTGAGAGCTCCACAGGCTCTTGGTAGGTCTTCCTGCCTCTACTGGGGGATATGTAGATGGAAGCAATTAAGCAAGTGCACTGAAACAGAGCTACTCAAATCTTCCCTAGTGAACCCAAGTGACCACACATACTGTGAATTTCCACAGCACCACAAATCCCTGGTTGTGAGTGAAGGGATGGTGGTGAAACCTGATGGTTTTGGCTTGACACCAACTGCAACTCCAAAGGCAGATTCATTTTTTTTCTCTGGGCATTTAGATTCATTTAATCTCAAAGCAAAATATGGGAAGTTGAGGTGAATATGAACTGCAATGTAAAGAAAGGAGGTTTATGTCAGATAAAGAAAAGGACGCTTAAGTCAGACCAAATGCTGCAGCATTGTCCTGACAGATCCTGGCAGGTTAGCATGATTCCAGCTAAATCCAGGCAGCTGAGAAGAGTCTGACTAAAGCAATTGGTGTGACTGATTATTTTTATCTCAAACTTGAACCTGAACCTCAGTCATTATTTTTGCGCTGCCTTTAAAGTTGTACTGGATTGAAAAGAAAAAATTGGAGAGGAAGAATATATCCCTCTCCCTTGCACAGGGCTGGTGGCACTTACATGCTTTGTGTAGGGCAGCATCCTAAGGCAGGCATGGCAAAGGCAGCTGGATACGTGGTGGTGTTCTGGGCAAACCCCGCAGACCTGTGGAGAAGAGAAAGCTAAAGTACTTTAACCTCCTGGCTGACAAGCCATGCCATGGAACTGCCCATTTCTGCTTTCAGTTGCTATATTTGCTGGTTTTAAGTCATTTGGGATGTTTGAACTAGTTAGTGAGTCATTACCGGCTGGAACTTGAGTCAGATGGCGGCAAACTGAAATCAAATTTATTACAGTGTTACCCTCTTAGTGAGCTTTTGAGGCAAATCTGATTGTCCCCAGTTACTGCATCTCAGTAATGCACTCAATGTGCTGCAGCCACTCACAGGCTCTTTGTAGAATCAAACCAGAGTTAGTCTGCTGTAAACCCCATGGAAATAGGGCAATGTTGCTGTAGGATCCTTGGCACCAACTATTTCACTGTGCCTCTGTCAGTGTGCAATGTCTGCTGGCAGAACCTCATCCAAGTATGCCATGGCAATACAGCTGATGTCTCAAAACTGCTGCTCAGCTCTCACCTCGTGCACAGGCTGCTGCTTGAGTTGATGTGCGGTGCCACTTGAGTGCTGATGCAGCCTTGTAGTTAATGACCTCCTTGGTGCCCAGTTTCAGCTGAAATCTGAGAGGCCTGGAGTGAGATTCTCAAAGTAATTTTTCTCGTGCTTCTCTCACAAATGGAGATTTGTTCCTTAAGTGCTCTCAGATCTGAGGGCCCTCAGTGCCTTTTCAATGCTCTTTAAGTCTTCTCATACACGGATCTCCTCTGAATTGGAGATAGCTGAGTCAAAAGCATATTGTTTATGTCATAGTAGTTTCACAGTATGTCATGGAGTTGGAGTAGACCTTAGAGATCATCTAGTCTCAACCCACACCTCCCACCAGAGCAGGTTGCTCAAGGCTTTAGCCAACCTGGCCTTGAACACTGCCAGGGTTGGGGCATCCACCATCTCCCTGTGCAACCTGTGCCAGTGTCTCACCACTCTCACAGGAAAAAATTTCTTCTTACTATCTAATCTAATTCTCCCCTCTTTCAATTTATCCCCATTACTCCTTGTCCTATCACTACAGTTCCTAACCAAGAGTCCCTCTCTAGCTTCCTTGTAATGTCCTGTGAGTGAAGGAATACTTGCAGTGAATTGAGATTCTTGGCTAAAAGCTCCTGCAGTTTTGCAAATTCTATCACAACATTTTAGCTGTACGTTTTAATCAAGTTCACCAAGTCAGTTCAGTCTCCCTTATCTTGCACAGTATCCTCCTTTAAATTTGTCTTTTAATCCACACTTTTTTTTAATGGTTGGGACTACATGATCTCTAGGGTCCATTCCAACCCCTTAATATACTATGATACTGTCATATTATGATTCTGTTCTTTAGGATATTAGTTGCTGAGTATGTTGTGATGCAAAAGTTTTGCTCAATATAACCTTTAGCTACCTCACCAGCTCTTAAATTTCTGCTCAAGCTGAGTACTAAGTTTTTTTGGGAAATGAACATGTAAGAGGATATGCAGTTTTGACAAGGAATCTAAGAAGTATAATATCCACTCTCTCTCTATATATATATATCTATCATACTGGGATGACTCAAGTTGGACTCCAGTTAGAAGACAGGCTCTAATACTGCTGGGAATGTAGCACAAGGACATTCAGTAACTGGAGAGAGATGCCAAATTTTTCCATCCCTGTGTTATGTAACTGTGGGGCTTTAGGAGTCCTGCTCTTCAGGAATGAGGTTTGGTACTGAATTTTGATATTCCTTGGATTAAATTTTCAAGGAGCTTTTCTGTTTTTCTATGTGTTGGAGACCAATTTTTTATCCATTTAAATGGGTTGTACACTACGGAGTTTCTTCTGCTGAATCTTGGTTCTGTTTCTGTGCCACTCTGAATGGAAATTTAGAATTTTTTATGGGCTATTTCTAAGATTTTCTGAAATAAAAACAGGGTTTCTGGCCCTTCTGTTAGTAAACAAGACAGGCTGAGAAAGTTCGACAGGTTGAGAAAGTTGGGGCTGTTCAGCCTGGAGACGAGAAGGTTATGTGGAGACCTCATAGCAACCTTCCAGTGTCTGAAGGGGCTACGGGGAAGCTGCAGAGGTAATCTTTGCTAGGAACTGTAGTGATAGGACAAGGAGTAGTGGGGATAAATTGAAAGAGGGAAAATTTAGATATCAGGAAGAAATTTTTTTCTGTGAGAGTGGTGAGACACTGGCACAGGTTGCACAGGGAGATGGTGGATGCCCCAGCCCTGGCAGTGTTCAAGGCCAGGTTGGCTAAAGCCTTGAGCAGCCTGTTCTGGTGGGAGGTGTCCCTGTCTAGGGCAGGGGGTTGGGACTAGATGGTCCATTCCAACCCCATCACATACTATGAAACTAAGAGTCCGTGGTTCATCTGCTGTCTGGGAAGGCTTGATTTGGAGCATTTGGGAGTGGCATAATATCAGATGTGAGGGGTGGTTGTTAGCAAATGTGTGCCAAGGCTCTAATTAATACAACACTTTCTCTTTTGGTTGCCTTCGCTAGGAAGCTGCTGGAAGAATGCTGTGACCCTGGGCAGCTCTTTGCTATGACAAAGCTCAACTCTCCCATGGGAAAGAACCTCTGGTTTGATGGAGAATTTTTATATTCTGTCACTATCGACAATGCAACTTACTCTCTCTTCCCACAGGTTAGTGACCCTGGTTTTCTTTTCACTTTCAGTATTAATATAGGCTAAAGGCTCATCAGGAAATTGTGTCTTCATTTCTCAGCACCAAACAGTCTCTTCTTTTTTCCTTCCATGTTCTGACAGTTTTGTTTGTATGCATCTTGGTATTTCCCTGGCTGCTTTTTGGGTGTGTGGATGACACAAGGGATGAAATTGGGTCACCTGTCTTGATGTTCAAAGTGCTAATTTCTGGCTGTTTTAAGGAGATTCCTGCATTTCACACCCTGAGCCCAATCCCTCACCTTGCTTCAGTTCAGATCCACTTACCTAAGGTAGGACAGTGCTTTGTGTGAAGGTGCCCCAAGTTACTTCCAAGTTCATGAAACTTCTTGCTGACAAGCAGCATGAGCTCAATAACAGAAGCCAACAACTTGACTTTGTTGATTCTTGGTGTGGTTTTGAATGTTAGAAGTAGTTATTGCTGTTCAGCAAAGGTGTTTTGGATTAAGTGCAATCTGTAATTTGTAATACTGATCCAGACTTTTGTATTTTAAATCAATATATGAACTGATGTTCAATAATGAGTTTGTTAAATTGAATTTTGTATGTGGAAGGAGAGATGTTTCATGTGGCTACAGACTTACAGAAAGCCAAACATCTGGATGCATTAATTGATTTATATGTTCCTTTAATTTCTCAGATTGAAGGCATAGGGATTTGTTAAGCAGAGTTCTTACTTGGTAGCCTCATCCTGCAAGTAAAACAGTAAAAAGTTGGTTTTTTGGAGTTTCAGTTTTGGTTGGTTTTTTTTTTTTTTTTTAAAGTGAGGGGAAACTGCAGTGTAGAGCAGAAGAGATGGGAACAGTCATTCTGTGCAGAGACATCATCTGGCGGAACAGTGTTCCAGCTGTGCGTTGTTCAGGCTTCCAGTCTGCTGTCTTGTCACTTGTGCCTGTTGCCATGATCCAGATAATAGACCTCTGCCTCCCTCAGGCTGCTCCCTGCTGCTGTGTTGTGTCCTGGTGAGCTCAACAAACAAGTAGATGCTGAAACCTGCAAGGCAAGTGTTTTTTTCCTGCAGTACAGCTGGAAAGGGGCTGCCTGGCTAGAGTGAATTTCTGGAGCCTGGTAGAAAGTTTATGATGCATTCCAGAGTGGTGGCTGTCAGTCTTTTTTTTTGATGATTAGTGTGATTTGTTGCTACAATATTGCACCATTTATTGGAGAAAACTGAAATCCTTGACAGAGGTGTGAACTTTGTACCACACAAAGATGCTGGCAACAGCTGCTTGAAATGTGTGTGTCCTTTCCAGGGTTTGAGAAAAATACCAACCTGGGCTGGCACAGGGAAGTCACTGTTTTGTGGTTAATTAGGGATTTCGGGTTTGATTTTCTTTGGATTCAAACCTAGCACTCTGCTTGGCTGCAGTGGTGTCCTACCTCCTCTCACATAAAAGAGCAGAGTGCTGGATGGGCTCCTTCAAAGAGGTAATTGCTGGTTAAAGAAATCTTGGTTGCAGGAACTCCAGTGGTTTTCAGGCTCTCAAGCCTATCCTCAAATTTATTAGTTGAATGGATCAAGAGTGAGGATCTGGGAAGACCTTGAGAGATAAACACCTGAGGGACAACATGAGCTAAGGAATTTGGGACTTCAGTGTCCATTCGGATTGCCTAGCAGGCTGTGAAAGGGATGGATAGATGCTGTTGTGGGGGTGGTGGTGGTAAAGGTGCATTTTTATGATGATCCAACCCTAGAACAATGCCAGAAAGCAGCTCTGGGACTGGTGCCAGAAATGCTATCCCTTTAATGAATTCACAGGCACTTCTTGTCTGACACTCACTACTATTCCTTCTCCCCTTGCAAGTACCACTGCCTCTAATTTCATGTGTTATTCCTATGTATTTTGCCCAGAGGAATTTTGTAGACCTTTATCAGACCAAATCCTGGTAGGCTTAAAACCTTAGGAAGATTTATTTGCAGTAAATTTTTAAATGAAGTATTTTTCTACCTCTCCTTTTCAGAAAAATACTTGCCTAAATTTTTCAGGCTCCTACTTTGAAGAATGGTGTCTATTAGCTTGCTAGCGACTGGCAAGGGATTTTTTTGAAGATGAATATTCTTTTCAAAAGTATCCAGAAGCTTAAAACCACTCATAAAATATGGTTAATACTCTGAAATGCCCAGGGGATGTACAGGAATGTAAAGGGCTGCAGCTATGTTGATATAATCGAAAAAATATTTCCTCTGGAATAAATAAAAACTGCTCCATCCACATCAATCTGCTAGGCTTGAGCAATTCTGTGCTTGCAGAAGATTTTTCAGTCCTGAACCAGTTCCTAACTTATAGGATAATGGAACTCAAAGCTAAATAGGAAACTTTCTATATTTCATGCATAGAGTGAGCTAGCTATGCATCAATGGAGCCTTACACAGAAATAAATACATCTGTTGGCACTTAATATGTAAAACATCACTTATGTTTGAATGTGAACAATACCAAATAAGATATGTTTTCTTCTGAGCAATCTGTAGATCAAATTCTTACAGCTGGGCCAATGTTTTCTGGTGAATTGCTTTTCCAGTAAAAATGCTAGTTCACAAAAATATGAATTTAGTATCAGTTCATTGGTTGTTCATTTTTTCTTTGAAGTGAAAAGGTTAAAAGGTTTTGGTAGTGTTATGACATTGCATTTTACTATTTTTTGGAATGTAATATTTCAACTGTTGTTTTTTGGTTTTTTATCAGCTCTGCTGCTAGCTTTCTTTTTTTTCCCAGATTTTGCATAATTATATTCATCCTCCTTTTATTATTTGAATGTTTTTGATGGGTCAAGGGAGAAATTTGCGAAAGAAAAAAGCTTTTGACGTGAAAATAATAATTCATTGTTTCACTTCAGTTTATGAAGGCAAAATTTGCAGTTGCAGAGTTTTGCATGAACCAACAATTCCAGCTGCTGGAAGTGGCTCCTCTTAGTCTGCCCTTCTCCATGTCATTTCCCCCGATTTCTAGAATTAAATTTTTTTGAAGAAGAAATTAAATATTACACAGACTGCACCATCTTTCCATCCTGGAGAGAAACTGCTAGTGGCTCATTGTCAGTACATAACAGTCAGGAGATGACATGGGGCTCATCATAGAAGATGACCTGGAGCTGTTGGATAATGGAGCATCATTTCCATTAAAATCAGATGTTTCTTGACAGCAGCTTTGTTGTATTCCTTGCTGTGATCTACAGCATTGTTTCCCACTCTTAGGAGACAAAAAGTATAGAGTCTGCATGTAACTATAGGTGTAGTTTATTCTTAACAATGAGAGCTTATTCCTACTTCCTACTTAAAACTTTTCTAAACCTTTTCACGCTGATTTGGTTTCAATATAGCAGTAATTATGATACATATCTGGGAGCACTGAGACTTCAGAGATGCAGGTGACCCTATTAGAGTCAAGATCAGCAACATGGTTGGCTGAACCTCTGAGTAGCCAAGCTGCCATGTCTTGGCTTGGCCACTACGTCATAGGTAACTTGTAAACGTATTTCCTCTCCCTTGTGGACCAGCTATTATACAGAACATAGAACTGTGTGTTGGGGAGTGTTCAGGAGTTGTGTCCCCCATGGGACAGAGACATACACCCTCCATACTCTTCAGTCTGGAAGTTTAGCCATGCAGCTCTGGTCCTGTTGTGTTGTACTTAGGCAGGACAGAAGGCATAACTAGCATTTTCCACTCTTTAGCATGTGACTAGAATGGTGGAAATCAGGGTTCCATATATTCCTGCAGTCATTTTTAGATGCTATGAGTAAGTGTGATGTAACCACAGGAGTAGCTGGGCTGTAACTCAAAACCATGTGAGAGCAACGTGAACTAACACTCATCTGTTTTTGAGTTAGAGAACAGAACGAGGCCTAGTTTGAAATGTTTCTGAAATAATTTTTCACTTCTTCCTGCCTTTTTCTTCCTCAGAGTTTCAAAACCGAATTTCAGACTATCTTCAGCATTAGAGGCAAAACCACCTCACCCCAGTGTCTGGTTGTTTATGCCAATAGTTGATTCTTGTTGCTTCTTGGCAAAACACTATAGCAGGGAAGAACTGAGTTGAATTTCTGCAGTGTCCTTTCCCCATCCCCTAAAAGGTTAAAAAAATAGGTAAATCAGTTGTAACTTTTCACTCTGCCAGGTAAAGTGTTGTTTTGGAGGGTAGAGGAGTGAATACATTTCAAAAGACTTTTCAAATGTTGAACTTGAGCTTTTTAATTTGGCAAAATAAAATAACTCAAAAAAATCCGTTTTCATTTTATTTTGCATGAAGCAGTTAAACACATTTGGTACCAGTAAATTATTTCAAATCACTAAAATACGATTCCTCAGCTGCTCAAATGCCTTCTAAAGTTTCACCTGCAGAATGCTGTCAGCTAGAAGGGTGGCTAATCACATTGGGCTTCTCATGAATAGTCATCACAAATGGTGGTGGAGGAATTCAAAGGAAATAGCTGCAAGCCACAGGTAAATCGGGGAAAGGTAACATCTGTTTCTGGATACCTTGTGATCAGGAGAAAGGTGATATTTCTCAAATTATATGTGTAATATAAATATTTATTCAAAGTTTCAATCTTGTCTGTAATATAAAGGCAGGAAAAAATTACTTGCTCTAATTGTAAGTCCAAGATTGAGACATTCTCTGATGTTTTCTGGGTGTATTGGGTAACAGTGAATTATTTTATGTGTATAAACTGAAAGAGGGGAAAATTAGATTAGATATTAGGAAGAAATTTTTTACTTTGAGGGTGGTGAGACACTGGCACAGGTTGCCCAGGGAGGCTGTGACTGCCCCAACCCTGGCAGTGTTCAAGGCCAGGTTGGCTAAAGCCTTGAGCAACCTGCTCTGGTGGGAGGTGTCCCTGCCCAGGGCAGTGGAAGTTGGGGCTAGGTGATCTCTAAGGTCCATTCCAACCCCTTAACATACTATGAAACTATTTTATGATTGTGCCGTTTGATTTGTGGTTGTCATTCAGGGAAACTG